TTTAAAGAATCCCAGATCTGATTAATCTGGTAACCTCTGAAACCAAGTTTAGTTTTACCTGCTCAACCTATCTTCGTACAACAGAAAAGCCACAGCATCAAGCGTTGTATCTGCAAATTAGAAAAATATATAGAAAAGCAATAAAATCAACATGAACCATAGGATTTATGAAGCTAACTATACTAAGTGGTTTCTTCCATGAGACCATGTTCCTAGTTGAAATAAGTTATGTACTGTGCTGTCACAATTAAGAAAGGTTAAAATAATCCTTTCTGCTCAATGCCTCTGATTGTCATAATTAGGCTCACTCTTTTCCTCCACTTGGCTTTTTTATGTCTTGCAGAGGTATACGTCAGAATATTGTTTCTATTTGTAATACTGCTTTGGTTCGAATAGTTAACAAGAAATAGCAGTGACAGCTATTTCTGACTCCCCAAATTGTCAAATGCCTGAGAAAACCAATTTAAAAAGTGACCCTTGGGTGCCATGGCCCTCTTTACTAAGTTATTACTAAGTTTTCAAATTAATATTTCACCACATATCCCATTATGATCAGTTAACTGTTGGTGCAACATCCCAAACTGAAAAGTTAAGCAGCATGACTATTTACACTGGCCAAACATACTGCTCGAGATTTGTGCAACTGGGCAATATATTCAGTTTGTAACTTCATTTTTTTTCATCTTTGCAGAGGCTTCTTCTTTGGTAGCCAAGAAAGGGACAGCTGTGCAAGATTAATAGAAATAAGAGAAAAAATACTGCAGACTGGGCACTTACATCTGTATTTGCTGTCCAACATTTGGACACACACATTTGAGGAATACACTGAAGAATTATATTTTATATAAACTCCAGCAGGCAACAGGGAAGCCATTTTCAGTTATTAGACTATAGTATATTAGCGGTGAACTAATTTGGTGAAATTAAGTATTGAAACATAACACTCTGGAAGGTGAAAAATGGTTAATAGTAACACAAAAACGATACCACTTATTTTGTGAGCCCTTATTCCTATATCACATCAAATACTCTCATTTGTTTTCAGCAAGGCCAGGATCTGACTGACAGACTTTAAAACAAAATGTAACCACATTATTTCTTGGGGGAGGAACAATGCTGCTCAGTGCCATTATGCCTACTCTGATAAAAAAGTTTTTAAAGAAATGGCAAAATCCTTAATATAAACAGAAAACTAACACGGAAGCACACGTCCCTGCTCCTGTGAGACTAGATTACCAATGGTTTTAGCGAGGATCTCTCTCTATATTTTAAATGGTAGGTCATCCACTGCTGGTGGCAGGAACCAAAGATGATTTAGGTCCTGACCTTGCAGCTGACCAGTCAGTGCGCCTGTATATGATGCCACTTGTTCTACTGGTAGAGCAGGCTGCCCAGAACTGGTCAACTGCAGTCAATTTAGTTTTCATAGCACTGCCCAGACCACAGCAGTAGATTTTTGCCTTTACCAAGTGCATACACATTTTTGTTTCTCCCCAGGGCCGTTTTTCTCTTGCCAAGACTACAGCTGCACCACCCTGATAAACCCTATAAGATACAAGTTATGGCTTCAGCCAAGATAGACCAAAATGTATACGCCATATTTGGATTTCCTAAGACTTAGCCTTATATTTTAAAAAGCTGTTTGTAAAATCTCTCTCATCCTGTTTCTTTGCCAATGAGATCTGGTTCCAACTAACAGACTGACCTGCCTTTGTAAAGAAAAGCTCTGTAACAACAGGTAGTTTATTACTAATAGGCCAGAACAAAGCAGAGTTAAAGTACAGTATCAAAAAAAGAAACAGGAGACCAAATTTATCCTTGATGTTTTCAATAAAGTTGCCCTAAGTCAATAATGTTTGTCTTCCACAATAAAAGAGGCTGTAGATAAACAAAAAACCACCATGGTATTCTGAGTTAGGAAGATGCCCTGGGCTATTGCTAACGTTTATGCTGCAGAAACAAATACTGTGGAGACTGCTACATATTTTCTTCTTGTGTTTTTTTTTTAAGGTTGCAGCAAGAAGGCAAAAAAAAACCACACCAACCAGTGTCAGCACATTATAAAAACTACAGTTCACCTCAAGTTTTAAGCTTTTATTCAAGGGAAATGTCAAACAAAGGCTAGTTTGAGCAATTATCTTAAAACCTGTGCCCGAGAGAAACCAATGAATGGAGAAAGGAAAGCTGAAGGATGCATCATCACTCTGAGCAGCACTGATGAAATGTTATTCCCCTGCATGTAAAATGATTTCCATTTTAAACTCTGCTTCTCATGTTAATATTTTGGTTTGCACTACCTTCATCTTGCACAAGTCAGACAAGATAGGTTCACTGCTCTGATATAAAAGCATCTTCCTGCAATCACTAGTTCACAGATTCTACAGGGGAACGTTTACAGCCAAAGCAAACTATTTCCTCGATTAAAATTTACATCTTGGAAATATTTCTACTGATCTAATTTTTATTTTTAAACATAAAACAAAGTTTGGGCCTACGCAACCTGCTAGGGGCCCCTTAAAGCCAGAATCATGCAAGTATCTTCTGCCAACAAAGCTCTGCACACATGCAGCCCCTCTGGCTTGCTTGATTGCTGAAAAAGGAGGAGGGGGGATGACAACACCCACATGCACGTACTTGCTGGATCATAACTTACGTTGTAAAATAAACAAGAGCTGTTTGGTTACACCATCACAGAGATGTATAAAAAGGCTTAAGTCTGCTGAAAAGCATGTTTTAAACATGTAACAATGTAGCACAAGATAACCAAACTGAGAGCTGTTTTTCTAAATCAATTTCTACATCAAAACCTTTTCATTTCCAATCCTATCCATGTGCTGTGGGCACCCAACCTTTTTCCTTCTGAGGAAAATTCTGAAAGACTTCTGATTTAATCGCTTATCACATCTGGACCTGCCCTACTTAAGGCACACAGTCACCACAGATGGAAGTGAGGTTGCAAAGAAACAATTTCTGAAAAAGAAGGGCAAGGCACAGTTCTTAAAAGGATAAACCACACAAGCAACACCCCAAGTCCACATGGAAGCATGCTTTCATCCATAATAAAAACACTTCCCTGCTACAATTACAGAAGCCGGGGTTTTCACAGCCAGTTTCTTTTCACTTGCACAGTTACACAGGCAGAACAAGACCAGAAACAAGGCAAACATACATGGGTGACTGCATGGCCTCAAAAGAAATACTGATGAGATTCATGTCACATCTTTGTTTAAATACTCCCACCTGTAACAACTGAAAGAGAGGAAAAGAAATATATATTTTGAAAGAAAGGAAGAGAAAATTGTATATACACACACAGATATATTCTTTCTAGAAAGACAGAAAAAATACACACACACACACAAACATATATATACACACACACATGCATACCCCCACCTGTAATAATTGAAAGAAAGGAAAAGAAATGTTATATATAGTTATATATACACATATATACATTTTCTTTTCCTTTCTTGCAATTATTACAGGTGGGGGTATGTGTGCACATGTATAGGTATATATATACTTCTTTCTCTCTTCCTTTCTCTCTCTTCTCCCTCCCCATACATCAAGTTACCTGATGACACTTTTTGTACTTAATCTGTTTCACTGATTCTTCTGTGCAGAAAAGGCCTTTTGTGTGAGAGTCTTTTGAACAGCAACAGAGGAAAGCCAAACGTTTAGCTAACCCTGTCCCCCCCCCCCCCAAACACAAACCCAGGAAGGTATAATCGCAGTGGAAGGCAGGCAGGCTCCAGAGATGTTCACCACTGGTGAACATGCCCAGGATCACTGTAATACGCCGCTTCTTGAACAACCTTTTTCTGTGGTTTGACCATGATTTATTTTAACCCTCTTTTAAAAATAAAATTAAAAAACAAAAACACTTTTAATAGTGCTGCCCAAGTGCCTAGGGTGGCCATCATAGAGGACATTCCAGTTTTCTGCTACTGTATCCTCTATTGATATGAAATCCGACGCCTTTATGTCCTCTATTTTTCTCATCAAGAGGACATAAAGGCATCTGGTTTTATATCAATAGAGGACAGAGGACAATTGGACTGTCCTCTCTGATGGCCACCCCACGACAGTGGGAGGACCCAGATCCAGCCTGGACCTGATGATCTAGAAGGTCCCTTCCAGCCCCTAACAACTATGAAACTCAGCTCCTCTAGTTGGACTCCTCTTTGCCAGAAACACTTCATGAAGAAACCTCTGTGCTCGGGAACGCCTTGGGGAAATAACCCTGGGGCAGGGGGGAAGGAAATGATGGAAAACAGACTAAAGAAGCCCGGCCTATTCCGTTTAGAAAAGAGACACTTGAGAGAGGACATACAAGGGGGTTACAAAATAATGAATGGCCCATGAAGTGTCAATAGGGATTCATTATTCTCTATTTCTCACTTTACCAGGAGGAAGGGGGCACACAACATGAAGCGAATCGGGTCCCACGTTTGAAGCGATAAAGTGAATCGCATCGCCGGTTTCAAGCAATAAAGCGAATCGCATCACAGGTTTGACACGACAAAGTGAATCGCGTGGCAGGCTTGAGGCGATTCGCGTCACAAGCTTGAAGCGATAAAGCGAATCGCATCGCAGGTTCGAGGCGAACCAAGGGAAGTTTCCTTGCAGCGGGCCATTCAAGCGAGGCTCCACGGCTGCGGGGCCCTGTTCCCAGGACTGGGACCCGCCGGCGTTGAGCAGCGGAGCAAGGCGCAACCTCTGCCTCCCACCTGCTGGACGGAGGCTTAAACTACATTTAGGGACCTCGCCATGAGGGGGGCCTCTACATAAGAAAAGGAAAAAAAAGCCTGCACGTTCTCGTTCTCAGACCACAAACCCAGACCTCTCCCTAGAGCTCCTCCGTTGTAACTCGCACGTGGGGTCCACGCAAGTATGCGGAAGTGACGATACTTCCGGCTCTGAAAGAGTCATGAAACCCCCAAATCGGGTGTTGTGTTTATCGTATCTTCACCCGGGCCCCGGCATGTGTGGGCCCGCGCCGCGCCGCGCCCCCAGAAGCTGGCCCAGAAGGACCGGCCCGGGACTGCGAGAAGAAACGTGGCGCGAGGCTATGAGGCAGATCCGGGTCCGCCCGCCCGCCGGGGCAGGGGCACGCACAGCACCCCCTGCCGCCCCGCCCCGGCCCAAGGGCGGCCCCGGTACCTTGCGGAGGTATATGGCCACCACCTGCTCGAAGGGATACTTGTAAAGCTGGTGCACGTCCACCATCACCCCCATGGCGGCACGACCGGCCCGGGCCCGGCTCCTCCCACGGGCCCCCGCCCCCTCCGCCGCCGCCTCGCGGCCCGAGCGAGGCCTGCCGACATCCTCCTGCCCTGCCCCTGCCCCCTCGGCTGCCTCAAGAAAAGCTGTGCTGAAATCAGGATAAATTACCCCCTATTCAAGAAGTGCCTTATTATCCTCTCCCTGACCAAACCTAAGGGGGTCTTCCTGGCAGAAAAGCCATGGTCCCACTTTGTGCTATGGAAGTTGTGCCTTTCCAGGGCTCTCCCTAGTGTTGAGGTCAGCCCGTCCTGGCCTGGATCCTGCTCTGCCTCCACTCTTTTCAATAGACAGCACCAGCAGACCCAGCATTGGGTGTTACCCACTTTTCTTTCCTGGAAACAGCTTGCTGAAGAGCACAGCTCGTTGCCTTCCAGCTTCTCCCCTAGATGTGCATCGCCTGTGGCCTCTTTCTGCTGACCTCCCCAACTTGTCAAATGCCTGAGAAAACCAATTTAAAAAGCGCCCCTCTCGGGCGCCCTCTTTACTAAGTTAGTACTAAGTTTTCAAATGAATATTTCACCGCACGTCCCGCAATGGGTCAGTATAACTGCAGTGCGGTATCCCAAACTGAAAGGTGAATCGACGTGACTGTTTGCACAGGATGAATGTACCGCTCACGATTTGTGCAACTGGGCAGTAAGTTCAGTTTGTAACTGCATTTTTTTTTCATCTTTATAGAGGCTGCTTCTTCGGTAGCTGACAAAGGGGCAGTTGTGCAAGATTAATTCAGCCTGTGATGATGGCAAAGTTGAAGAACAGAGTGGGGGTAACGGGCACTTGTTTTCTCTGTTTATAATCATGCCACAAAGGCCTTGCAAACATAACTACATCTATGATCCCTGCCCCCTCCCCAGCTTTCCTTCATTGTCATTATATTACAATAACCTCTAGGAGCTCCAGGGAAGATCCAGACGACGCCGTGCCATACACTACATAATTATACAGTAAGAGAGAGTTCCTTTTCTGAAGGGCCGAATGCAAGTAGACAAGACTGACAAAAGGAAACAGAAGCACTAGAAGGTGAAGGGACTCTGCTAAGGTCAGAGCACAATTTAGAAACAAGGCCACAATCAGAACTCATGTCTTCCCATAGTTCAGAGCTCTCTAGCACAGCACGCACTTGACCTACTGCCAGGGACCGCCGTCCAGACAGGCTTGTACGCAATGGAAATAGAAATACTAATAGTAGAAATATTCCCATTGACTCTGTCGGCTCTAAATGTGATGTTACTGAGAAAGCTCCAACATATTCAGTGACATTTTTAAGTAAGGTAAGATAATATTCTAAGTTACTGAGGGCACTGTACAACCAAGAATGTCTGAATTAATGTGAAAGGGGAAAAAAAAAAGAATCAGACCCAAATAATAATACAACACGGTGCTGAATTTTACAATGTGTCACTCACATACCTGTCTTATTTGCAATGCACACTGAAACATATCTTGTAGTCCTTAATTTTTAATTCGGTAAAGTTCCTATTGAAGTCAATGGGATTTTTGCCTGAGTAAGTAAAGGATAGAGCTCATTATGCCTAGTGTTTCTAACCATGGAACTGTTACAATAAGAGTGTCAGGATAAATGGGGACAATTGACAAGGAGAGGCATAAAGAACTGGTAACAGTGGTAAAGAAGAAATCTGTTTAATGAGAAGCAACAGCAATAAAATACCGACTTTCTAAATTTATATTTTCAGCTAATTTTATTGTAAGCATTTAAATCCCTAAGCAGAAAAATTACATTGTTACATTTACTCATTTTAAGCTAGTGAAATATCAAATAAAGCTAGCAAAATTTTAAATGAAAAACCAATCAAATTTTGAATAAAAGGAACTTAACTAACAAAAATTTTACAAACTTTAAGAGTTTCATCTACCCTCGTATTCATGCACAGACCAGGACTCTTGCACTACATTAAGAAATCAAATAGTATAAAGCACTTGGGGAAAACAAAGCTTCTATATAAACTACAGCCTTTAAAGAAGCCTGAAAACTAAAATGGATTTTTTACAAATAATCTAGATGTCTCAGACAAAAATTGTGATGTACACCTACCAAAGTGAAAACTTGGCCATAAATTACCTTGTCTCAGCTTGCAACCTCAGCATGTACAGCATGTAAGAAGTCTCTTAACTCATCAGGGTCTCAGAGGTAATATGGAAGCTAAACCTGCATTAACATTGCCCATGAATATCAAATGTAATAAACAGAAGAAAAAAAAAACAATTTCCCCTGTTGACTGCCACTCTACAAAGCCCTTGTGTTCCATGCTGCCACTTGTATCCTGCTAAGTATTCAGCATTGCCGCTTCATTGAAATTAATTAGAGTTTGCATTTTGCAAATTACAACACCAGATTAATAATAGGTATCAGGAGCCCTATTCATCAACAGTCTGATTCTGAAAAGTACTGAGCACCTGGAACTCCGACTGACATCAAAGGGAAATGTGGGTCAGCACAAATCAGAACCAACATATAAAACTCTCTGGTTTTTCTATTTATTTATGTTTCAAGTTTCACAGTGATCATTTATCATTATGACTCTAGACTTGGAAACAGCTTCTGCTACCTGAATTATATGCTAAAAGAATCTCTGTATAACACAGAAGTAGAACTGAAATAAGCTACATCTATTGGAAATACATGCACCACTGCAGGAATAAATATAGATTTAATTGCAAAATACAGTGCAATGTTTGTATGTTCAGCATTTTAAACTTGACAGCAGGCTTTATAAGATTGCTACACTGTTGTTTTTCAGTTCAACAAATTATTTACATGCTTAAGGCACTGCTGTCTGCTACTAGTTACTATTATTTTGTTACAAGAGTGCTTAATACCCTCAAAGATTGGGACCTCATTGTGCTGCACAATATATGTGTATACAGAAATAGACAGAAATATTAACCCCAGCAAATTACAGGCCCAGATTCTGTCAACATTTACACATGGGCGTGACCTGAAGCATGTAGGTAGATTCTCTGACTTACGGGACTACTCCAACATGTGAAGTTAAATACTACATGTTAGCATTTGCAAGATTGGGGCCTACCTTCATTAACATATGTAACAGGTGAATGTACCAAATCAGGGACAAGTAAATGAAGTAATAGGGATAGATTTGCATGTACACCTTTGCCAACTTTTAATAACCTTCTGTTGTTATACAACTATTTAATTGAAGACAAGTAACATAGATGGAGGTTTCAGTAGGATGCTGCTGAGATACAATTATGCAGCACAGATCTGGCAAGGTTGCAGGCCATTTTCATTGCAAGCAGGACAGCGGAGAGCCCTGAACTCTTTAAATCTATTAGCCAACATCGAAAACTTGCTTCCATGGCACAGAGAGCAGGGGGCAGAGCCTGATCCTTTGCACAGGGAGCAGCGGCGCTCTATGTCTCCTCCCTGGAACAAAAGGATCAAACAGAAGTCTTTTACTTAACATCTGACATCCAAATTAGTGACAAACATAGAACTCTCACCAGGAGAGCCCAGTTTAGGGAATAATCCTCCTTTTGTGGTCTGTACAACAGCTCTTAGCATTGAAACACGTTCTCCTTTCCCTCTATGGGCTTGGATTCCAACACGGTGTGCCAGACACTCTTTCAAATTCCTTATCAGAATGTACTGTTTCTGCGAAGACAGGATTAAATACTTTCTAACAGAAAAATATACCGTGGCAAAATTTCATCCTTCTGATGCCAAGTTCAGTTATTTGCATCCATGTATTTCTGCTTTACACAATATTACAGAACTAGTGTTGAAACTCAAGGGCCTAAGTCAAGATGCAGATTGGTGGCAGATACATGCTTTAGGTGCCTGTGAAGTGATTTGAAAATGCAAATGGGTGTATTTCAACTTATAATGACAATAACAGGACACCTTCCAATGTCACAGATGTCCTTCACGTATATAAATATTCATTATATCAAATGTAATCAATATATATATTAAAGTGAATTACCATAAAATACTCTGCAAAACCAACAATAATCATCATCACAACACCTTCAGCTCCATCAAGTGCTCACTATAACACATGGACTCTGTAGAGAACTCAGGCCTTGACAAATTATTCAAAAGCAATGCCTTATGACAGTTTTCTCCCTTTTATGCTATGTTAACTCCAACTTGAGGACTTCCAATGCACATAACTATGAAAACAACATGAAGGTGGCCCTCTAACCTATTCAGATTTAGAACTGAGATCCCTAACTTGGTCACAGCTGAAAACTAGTTTCCCCATATCCGTTTCTACATAAATAAGTTCTATGCTACAGTGTGTGTGATAGATTTGGGAGCCAAAGACACTTTAAAGACACCCTAATACTTAGCATCCCCTTCCAAAAAAATAAATCTCCTCTTGAAGTGTCTGAGGGTGGGCACCTAGATCACTGGTTATTTGGTAGGCCTCAGACTTTTCAAAGATACAGTCTTCACTCTCATTGTGTGCTTATGTATCTGAGCTATAAGTAGATTTTCTGTTTGAAGAATGTATGTAAGTAAGCCTACATCAAGCATAAAAGGTCAGTTACTGATTTGCAAAAGTTGTAATTCTTTGGAGTTTCACTGCACAGCAAAACTATATATTGGGATCCAATTAAGATCAAACTAATTGGAATTCTGACCAGTAATACAGCAAAGAATGACCCATGAAAGAAATGGTTGACCTCACTCTGAAATACTTCTGCTGATACGAAAGTACTTCAGTTTCAATTTCAGGGCTGTTTTAGCTCTATAGTAGTTTTTTTCTGTATGCTCGCATGAGAGATTGAGAATAAATTTTGTGGCCTGGTCTCTTGTTCCTTAGGGGGAATAGGGATTTAGGACCTGAGTGTTTCCATACATTTCAGTGAAAGTCCTGTTGGCTTACTGGAAAGACAATATTCTTCTCCTGCAAAAGGAGGCATTGTGCTATTAAACAATGATCACCCTCTCCCCCCAGCTGACGTGGCTGCATAGGATTGGGGCGGGACCCTGAGGAGTGTGGGGAGGAAGCATTGCAACCTATTTTGTCTTACCTGTCCACGCTGACTGTGAGCAAAGTGCCTTTCTGCATCTCTCAAATGCCTATTGATTGGCTCAGCATCTCCCGTTTTCCCTTCTCGGAACATGAAGTCATTCAGGCCCTCATTCTGGATGATTTTCCTCACCAGCTCTTTCTTGTCTGTTGGTGCACGGATGATTTTCAGGTTGTTAGTGTAGATGATGATCTTACCAAAATCTAAAATGGGTGAAGGCTGTAAACAGGAGTCATGAGCACATCAGCTGTACAAAGACATCATACAAGGCAAAGGTAGCAGTAGACTTTGCTCTTTCGGGGTACTAAGACCCATAAATTCTCAATATGCAATTCACCTGCAACTGAACCACACTTTGGCCAGATTTTTAGAAAAGCTCAGCAAACTGAGGTGCTGTGCTCTATTGAAAATCCTTGTCCTGATTCTGGATGTTGAGCACTTGAAAATCTGGCCCTGACTTTAAGCCCAAAGTCAGTGAGAGTATTCCATTGACTTCAGTGAGCATCCAACAGCCCTCTGAGTCCATCTTCTCATTTTAGCCCCATGTGGAAGTAATCCATTCCATAACGTGAACACAGCAAGAGAAAATTCAATCTACAGTTTTTGTAGACAGAGAAGTCTTCACTTTATTTTCCCACAATTTCACATATGTCCAAGTGTATTTTCATATTTTGGTTCTGCCCAAAAAGTATAAGTACCAAGTTACAGCGAGGGAATATGCAAGTTTTAACTTTCTCCAGCTTAGTTTTGTACAATTAGAAGTGTGGATGAACACATAGTTTGGAGCACTCACTCAAGCCAAGATACATTCTTACAAGCATATACAGGAATAATTCACAGCCTAATGAATATTCCTTCTCAAGTTCTGACACCCAATTTACCTAATGGCTCCCATATTTGCTCATGTAGTCAGTGTACTGCTAGAATCTAAATATTCGTTAAACATTCATATCACAAGTGATAAGAAGGAGACAAGACTAATGGTTCAAGAACAAGACATCCTGTAAAAAGGTCTGGGTTCTCTCCCCAGCTCTACTCCAATCTCTCACATCACATAACTAGAATTACATCACTTCGGCCTTGCTTTTCAGGTCTGCTGTGTACCTGCAGCTCCTATTCATGTCGAATGTGATGCTCTCATTTGAGGTAACAGGTATGAAACATCTTTAGACAAGTGCTTACCTTCTATGCCTCCCTTCTGTTTATCCTTGGGCATACAAATATTTACTTGTTTCTTCAAGTGGGAAACGATGGTAATTCTTAGATGGAAGAGGAAGAGAAGCAAGTCTAAAATGTTTTTTTACCTGCTTGAATTTTTAGTTTTTTCTATTGTTTTTAAAGTTCTTCTTGGTCATACACTTTCCCGAAAGCAGTAAGTTTGCTCCTCTGTTCCATTTTCCCGTATCTCTTTACAGAGTATCATATAGCAGCTTCCCTATCCTATTGTTTTACACATTGTGTTCATATTTCACTCTAAGTATGTATGTCAGAATGCCAAGTAATTGGAAATGCTGCAGTTTTAGAAGATACCAGGCCAGGCTTCCAGGTGATATAAATCAGCCCGTGAAGCTACACTGATGGCCTGGCAGACCCTTTCCTGTTCCAGTAGAAGCATGAAAAATTCAGATTGGCTTAAACCATTTCCATTTGCTGAATGCTTTTAAAGGCCATATATTTATGATGCAATGTGATTTCACTAGGTCCTGAATGGATTTTTGTAGCATACCAATTACCATAGGAGCAGGGTGACAACTGATCCTAGAGAATGTTGGGGACCCTGAGACTCAGAGATTAGGTGACTTGGCCAAGAACACAGAAAAAGTAAATCATCTCACCAGGATTAGTGTCCAGGTGCCCTGATGTACACTAGGGTGCCATTTGCATTGGGTAAATATTCACTGTTGTAGAGTATTCATGCATTAGCTAGGTGTTGATGACATGGGGTTTTATAGTGCTCATCTCAATAGTATGGGATTCATACACGCAGCTTTGCTTAAGTATGAATGCGTGTTTACAACACAAATGATGTATTCAACCTTGTCCATAGGAAATCATTTCTAGCACTTTTTAAATACTTCCCTGTTCATTGTTAAATAGAGTTATATCAGGAAAGTGCCGGATTGACAACTGTGGGGACTCACCGTTCCTACTTTATGCACAGAACAGCACAGGTAGTAACACCAAAGGATTGAGAACATATTTCTGTTCATAGGTCCATTATGTCCTGGCACTTTAAGCAAAAATGCCAGTTATGCTTGGCTTAGGACTAGATGCATTCCTATTCATTAAAAACTCAACTGAAGTTACCAAATCATCTCACAGCAGCCCGCTCAAGCCTTGTCAGATGGTAATAATATCTGGTTACTATCAGCTTGAAGCAGTAGCCCAACAGCAAAGTCTTTGTATCATAATGTCACTCCACCAAACTGGCTGACCCCATTCACCTTTTTTTAGCTTTGTTTTCTATTGCATGCATTTTTGAATTTTAGGTGTATACCCATTGCATCAGCAGACAAGGTTCTTTGGGTAAATCTGATATCTTTTATTACACCAACTAAATAGTTGGGAAAATATTCCAAAAATGTTTCCAACTATGTAGTTGGTCTAATAAAAGATATCAGATTTACCCAAAGAACCTTGTCTGCCTGTGTCCTTAGACCAACACGGCTATAACCTACATCCCTGTACCGGTAGCTTCTACTCTGCTTAGTAGATGCTTACTTTCCAGTTTAATATATCTATGTTATTACAAAAGTTACTATACTATGATTTATATATGAATTGTTCTGTAGTTGGTATATCTAGATTTGATCTTCCAAGTTCACTAGAAGATCCCAGTCTAAGTCCCAGCACCTATCACCAAGGTACAGCAACTCAGTTATTCAATAAAGATGTGCTACACATCCATTACGTTTTCCTAAATTTGATTAACAATCATTTGCTAATTACTTCAGGCACTAGGCCATGTTTTCTAAACAGATTCAATTTAGCCTCTTCTCATGTGCCATTTTTACCCACAATGCAAATAGTCTTTTATATCTGCCTGCCTGTCAAGTAGGTAAATACAGAATCCTGTGTAAATAGGGTTTTTTTTAAACTAACAAAACACTAAACCACACAAACCATTTTCTCACTGGGGAGGGGAGGAGTGAAAAAGTGAGCTGTATAAACCAAATGTTTCTTGTCTCGCTTAGTGCCGTACTGTGATGCGCAGACACTGTCATTTAGAACAGAACAGAAAACTGGCACGTGTGTGAGAGCAAGCATACCTGCAGACTTAGAGGCACATATCTGAAGACTTGACCATTATGCCTTTAACTAGATCTGAATTGAATCTTCATTGGATTAAATTGGAAGACTCTAAAGGTCATATTCTAAAAGCAAACCATTTTCTGGTCAGCTTGTAAATCTAAAGGGAATACTACTTACCTTATGATGACTATCACTTGTCTGGTAGTCACTGAAGAGAGGAGAGTTGCTTGTTATACTGTACTTGTTGTCCTCTTTGAATATACTGATCCTTTGGGCAGTCAGTTTGGCTGAAGAATAAAACCTGGGATTGGATGCTTCTCCAGCCCCATAAAAATGGTCCCCTGACTCAAAGCTGCGGTGGAGAAAGCGGTGGGAATATTCTTTCTCTGGAGGCTCCAGTTCTTGGCCATCTTCATAGACTTGCTTTAACACCCGACCACTGTACGCAGAAGATATTCTGAATCTCACTTTGCGGGGTCTTCCCTCATGCTTCTGGCTAAGTTTCTTCTGAGGATCATCCATTGATATGGATTTCACGTAGCAGCTTCCAGAAATCACCTCAGCCAGGAGAACTTTGGGTTTATAAGAAAAGTCACTTTGGTTTCCCCCAACCATGCGATGTATAATTCAGGGTCCCTATTAGGTCCTCACGTTACAGGCAAGCTGACACCTCTATATTAAATATTGATGGATGTTCACAAAAAGGAATGTAATTGTGGTGGTGAAATAAGGCAAGGTTTACTGCATGCCCCTGAACACTAGATGGGTCCGTTTACAAATGTGAAAAGGAGTTAACATGGGAAGGATGATATTAAACTAGGAAATGCTGCCTGCTTTTTATCCACGGGAGCACTTCCTTTATATAGTGTGATCAGAATCACCCCTACCAGCAGCTTTTAGCAGTGTTCTGAAAAGGTTGAAAGTTAAAAAGAGAGTTTTGCAGAAAAAGCAATCTACCTTCACAAATGGCAAACATAAATAATTCCCCTCACCATGCCTGCTCTGAAAACCTAAATACAAAGCTCTATTTCATTTTAATCCAAATGTGTTTTTCTACAGGTTGGTGGAGATCTAATTAAGATCTTCTCTTTATCTTTAAATCCCTGTTTGTAATTCTCATTGGCTTTCTGAGCCTTCTGTCCATTCTGATTTTGCTTTTCTATTTTTAAATGCAATCGCTCCTGGAGAGGGACACAAGAGGCTTGACTCTCTCTGCCCTGCAGTTATTTGCCACTGGGCAAAATGCTTCTGTTCCTATTTATTCACTTTATGGTATGAGAAATGCAAAGCAGTAGAGGATCAGGCTCTGTGTCCTCAATGGCTTGACTCTTCTGTTCTCCCTCAATGGAGAAAAACAGCAATTGCCACAATTGCTATACATTTTTTTTTCATGGCAGCTTCAACTACAAGGTTCTGGTTACTATAGAAAAGATCTATAGTATCTGATAGGAGTCCTAATCTAGCCTCCAACTGAAGCACTTTTAATTCTCTGATACTCATGATGCTCTCCATCGGTACTGCAACTAGTAGCGACTCTGCTAAGGCTTTGTTAAGGATCTATGTCTGTTGCCCAGAAACTGATGCCTTGGTGACATGCACTTAACTGCCCTGTTAAAACAGGTATTAGCCTTACTGTTCCCATTTCCAGCTGTGCAATATAGGTTTTGCTTTCATTTCAAGGGGTCACATATGTTCAGCGGAATAATACATCAGTCAAGTAACTGTCATCTGGCTTTTAAAAATCCCATAATATGTACTAATCACAAATACACAGAGCAATATATTCAGTCTTTCTGCTGTCTTGGTTAGGATCCCTAATATTATAGTACATTGCTATCATAATTAAATGTGATTTCATTGAGTGGTGCTTAAACTAAGCTTTCTACCTACAGCCTACCCAGGTCACTTTCCTATAGCTGAAAAAGCAGGCTTTATAAAGCTAAATAGATTCCCATGCTATGTTTATTAAAAGGATAACTTCATGTAAAATACTGAAGAATTACTAGGCATTCATAGGGTACCTGAAGGAAACTATACAGCAGGGTCCTCATGTACTCTGGCAAATGCTTCTCTAGATCCTCTGGACTGCTGAGATCTTGCAAGAAGCCAATACAGTAAAACCCGGATCATTTGTATCTGAGTGGTTCACAGCCTGCAGAATTCACAACAAGTTGCCAAATAAAGGGTGGCCCACACAGCAACTTGCAACAGCTTTTGCTTCAAAAGGGTGCTGCTTCTCCACTCAACTGGAGGACCTCAGTGGTCCTGTGCAGATTTGCCATAGCTGCATATAACCCTTGTTTGGTTCACAAGCCCGTTTCTTCACAAGGGCTACAAACCATAACCATATGTAGTAGCCATGTTCTTCATGTATCATTACAAGTTTAAAAGATAAGGATTCTGCTCATCTTCATCCCAGCGTTGAACCCTACTTCATATACACAGAATTAATTTGTTTGGTAAGAATGCAACTCAGTTCCAGCTGCATTTATGTTTAATAAATCTACTATAAAAACTGCCCCTCAGTATTGTTGCTTCCTTCTGATACACAAACTAATTAATTTGACATGGATTGTACTTTTCCAAGACTTTTATTTGGAATGAATTTGAGTTTAGATTATGAGAATATCAGCACAGGAAATAAAGGTTAAGTATCCATGAAAGGACAACATGAGCACATCCTCTTTAACAGTCTGCTCTGCATGAGCACAAAATGGCTTCCAACCAGAGTATTATATTTGCCTAGTTAAGTATGCCACAAAGACATGATGGCCTTTTGTTTTAGGAATGGGTTTACCACATTCTCATTCTCTCTAGTGTCAATGGATATTTTTTTTGTGCATCTGTGACATATGTAACCCATGAAATACTTAGGGTGAATTTCATCCTAGTACAAGAAAACCACACAAGGACCTATGAATCCCTACTTCCCAGGCCATGTATGAATTACAAAGTAAAAATCCCACTTCCCACAACAAAAGGTCCATACAGTACAACATGTAATCCATAAACCCCATTCTGAGGGCATCAATGGGACTCCTGTTGCATTGGCCCTAGTGCTCAATAGTAAATCTCACTCTTATTGAAATACAGACTTATTACTGTTATTCTCTATCACTGTGCAGATAAGGAGAAATATTATAAATAAAATATTTAACTTCATTCTCAAGCTACTCAAATATTTTAAAAAAAACTTCAAGCCAGCATTTGCAAATTAAATCTTGTACAAGGAAGTATAAAGCTGTACTGCGAAGGTTACATTTTGTTAGGTCTTCCTACAAAATCTTACCCCTTCCTGGCTCCAGCCGAAGAATATAAAGGCACGTCTCCTGCCAGTCGGCATACAGACATAACCTGCAGCATCAGCTGGTGAAGCATGAGCTGTTATACAGCGTGAGGATGGTTGTCAGAAACCTGCCAACAACAGCACAGATGCTGCACTTGGGTATGTGTCAGACTGGTTTTACTAGACTTATCATAAGTTAGTACAATAATTACTACAACATACTACCACAGTATCCTAAAACACAGCAGCAATGCTAGTGTAAGCCGGGGTGCTTTGGCTCTGCAGCATATTTTACATAAGGGGTGTCCAACTGGAAGCTCCCAAAGGGTGAGACTACAGCCTCTCACCCAGCCACCACTACTCCCTGTGTCTCCAGTTGCTCCTGCTGCATGGACTGGGTGGGGGGAGCTGAAGTGCCCAACCTGAGGGCACAGCAAACAAGGGAGCTGCTGCTCATGCTGTGGGTGTGTGGTGTGAGAGGCTGGGAGCTGCACATGTGATTTGAGGGAGGGGAGTGGGGAGGAGACAGGCTTCTTGTGCTGCAAGGAGGGGCTTCCCATGTGAAATGCATGCCCAGGAGGGGAGGGAAGGGGAGGGGAGGGGAGTGCTGTGCATGGCTGGGGGGTGAGGGGGAAGTAGGAAGGGACTGGACTGTCCACACAGGTGTGGGAGCACTGGGCAACCTACAGGGCACGCACAGCCAGGAGAGCAGCCAGGATGCCCATGCTATGTAATTAGCAGGGGGGTGCTGCTGCAGAGTGAGAGCCAGGAGGGCCCCAGACCTGTAGCCCCCAGAGCATGCAGTCCCCAGCTGCTCAGAAGTTGGACAGCCCTGTTTTACTTCATGTTTCTTAAAGCTGAAACTGCAGTTATCTTCTGGTCACTGCAGAGCTTGGTTAAAGCTTGTATTGATTTAAGTAGTCATTACTCACTTCTCATAGTCATTGCAATAGCAAGGAGGTTCAATAGAGAGGGATTGAAAATATTATTATTCCAAATATAATAGGCTTCAAAAACCCCAGCAAGAATCAGCCCCACTGGATGTTTTAGTCTGTTCATTAGGGGAGTCATGAAGAAAAGCCTAGGGAAGACTGTAGGAGAAGAGAAATGAAGCATGTAGACTGGCATCACTGGCCAAGCAGAAGGGACACAGGGTAATGTGGTAAGATACTAGGTCAGATACATAGGAAGCAGTGAAGCAAGGTAGGAGCTTGAAAGCAAGGACAAGAATGTTAAACTTAGTGCAGTGGGACAGGAGGGACTGAAAGCATTCAGGTTAATAAGCGAGGAGGATAAGTTTTGCAGTGATGTTTTTGGTGGATCAAAAGGGGAGGAGGGACTCCACAGGTGCTAAGGAAGCCAGAATGGAAGAGACACTGAGAATTAAAAATAAGGCACTGTATCAGGCCATGTTCAGGAATATTAACTAGAGGACTAAAAAGAAAAGATTGAAATGTGCAGTAATATTGTCAGAATTTGGGCGCAGTTTGCATGTGTGGAAATGAAACCAAAGGAATCAGAAATTGCTTTTGATGCAGGGAGGACAGTGGTTTTACTAGAAGTGGCAGAGAGTGGAGAAAGTGAGAAACTATTTCAGAAAAAATAAGGCACTCAGTATTAGCCATATGAAGCTGAAGTTATCAGTGGAGAAGGAATGAGGGTGTGTCTACATGAGATATGTTACTGCACACTAGCCTAGTTTACTGCACAGTAAGCGTGTGCTTCTACATGTGTGCTCACTATGCAGTAAAACCCCTCAATCCCACTTGCAGGTAGCAAATTTAAGCAGGATTAGTTGCTGCGCAGTAACAAACATGTGAACGCAACCTGGAAACCAATTTGCTCTGGGGTGAGCCCTACCACTAGAGGGCCAGCCTGAGGCCAGCCACAGGGCTCCGAGCTGGGTGCCTCTCCTGCCCCAGAGCTGGGCTGTGCCTATGGCAGCCCCTGTCTCAGGCTTTAAAAGGGCCACAGAGTGAAATCCCCTGTGGTTGTAGTAGAGCTGGTTTCCATAGGGCAGGCAGGTAATGAGGATGTGGGTCCCATCCAGGGCCCCAATGCACTGAGGGAATCCAAGGGCACGAAACCCCACCACCACTACCAAGGAGTCATGCACATGGAGCATGGTGGACCCCAGCACATCTTAGAGGGCTCTGCACACTTCCAGGATGGCCTCCCTGGCAGTGGCCTTACCCACGCCAAACTGGTATCCAACATACCAGAGGCTGGTAGGTATGGGCAGCTTGAGCAGGGAGAGGGCAATGGTGACCCTGGCATGGTATCCTGAAGCCCCTCATTGGCATCCCTGCCGGCGGCAGCTGCACAGCAGTGGTGGCAGCCCCGGAATGGTGCACTGTGGCCGGGCAGGTGGTCACTGGGCATGGGGGAGGCAGACCAGGCAAGATGGCTGTGGGTCAAGTGGTGGTCAGCATGGTGGGATAGCAGGGTCAGCATGGCAGCTAGCAGGAGTGTCGGGCACTGTTTGTCCTTGCCAGGGGCAGAGGCTGGAGCAGCCATAGCACAGGGAGTCAGAGTTGCCAAAGACAGAGCTGCCACGTGCCGCCCCTGTGCTTGGCACGCTGCTCCTGGGCAAGGAAGGGGCTGGCCAGAGAGCAGCATGCACGGTTGGCTATTAAAGAGGGATCTGCTCCCTAATCCCTGCCTGCCCAAAAGTGCTTACTCCAGAGTAGTTTAAACCAGAGTAAACTCAGATCAAATCAAATGTATGTGTAGATGCACCTTGAGTGAAATACATTTTCCTCTCTTCTGGATTTATCTGCAGTAGGGGGCAATCTGTCCTAAGGTTTGGAATGGTGTTCAACACAGAGGACTTCCCACTTTGTATGGTGGACAGACCTTGTACTAGCTACCTGCATGGGGGTAAAGGACAGCCACAGTGAATTGGAGCCTGAAGAGCATTGGACTGGAAGGGACCTCCTGAGCCATCAAGTCCAGTCCTCTGCTTATTGCAGGCAACTTGGCTACATTTCGTTTTGTAAACTGATCGGCTCCATCTTAAAAAATCCTTAGGAGTAGCAGAAGCAAAAAAACCCCAAAAACTATTGAGAGGCTGCTACAGGAACCTCTGTCTAATTTACAGCCAACTTACACCCAGTTGTTCTTGTGCTAACATTGTCCTTCATTTTGAATAGCTCTCTGCCCTTCCTCTTGTTTGTTGCCCTAATATATTTCTAGACAGCAATCATATTCACCCTTAGCCTTAATTTTGTGAAGCTAACCAAGTCACGCAATTTAATCTCTCTGCCCATTTCTCTGATCATTCTAGGTCTCTCATGACCCTGCTCCAGTTTGAATTCATCTCAGTATCTAGCTGAGGCATCCACTAGGGCCTTGTGCAACAACATTAATATTTCCCTACTTAAAAGCCTGCTCCAGATTCTAACCAGCCACCGTCCTTCCTAGAAAGGCTTTTCTCCCCAGCTGTCCTCAGCCAGCCCCTGCCTGACCCAACCTTCTCCTTTTTTAGCCCTTTCTCACAAGTCAGACATCCACTGCAGATGTAGTGGTGGGGGCAAAAGCACTCATTAACCCTTTTCAAGTTGTGTGAGGTTTGTATACCCCATCCTCATGATATTGCTGGTTGGTAGCATAGTAGCAAACTCAATGGGCGCATCCTCACATGACGCTATGTCACCATAGCAATGCACTATAGCAACGTAGTGTCCACGGTTGTCTACAT